GTTGCCCGCCGCCAAACTTGCCCTGCCAAACGTCCTGATTGCTAGGGGGAAACCCCCTGCTCCCCCTTGCTGGGCCCGGCCGCCGGAGTGCAGTCCTCCCGCCCCCACAGGAGCCATTCGCCGCTCTCCCTTCCGCAGGCTGCAGTCTCCGCTCGTGGGCTTCCTGCCCCGTCAGCGGCAGGTGCCTCTTGGGTTTTGGTGGCATCTGTAGTGCAGCTTGTGGAGATGTCTGCGCAGTTGACGTTCGCCCGGTGCGGCCGTGGGGTGTGGCGGGGTACTGCTCAGCTGTTACTCGGGCTGGTAGGTCGTTGTCCGTGCTCCCCCGTCCCCGTTCGTATGGCAAGCCTTGTGGGGGCTTGACATCTGCCCTATCTATTTTTCCTGGTAAAATACATGGGAAAATCCCATTGCAGGAAAATTCCAGTTAGGGTTAGGGTTACGTCTCCATGAACTCCTAGAGGAAAATGGACATCGCCAGCAAACTCGGAGTGCTTGGGTATGGTTAGGATATCATTGACCTTTCTAGGCTGCCCTATGTATGTTTCCTGGTAAAATACATGGGAAAATCCCATTGCAGGAAAATTCCAGTTAGGGTTAGGGTTACGTCACCGTGAACTCTTAGAGCAAAATGGACATCGCCAACAAACTTGGAGTGCTTGGGTATGGTTAGGAGTGCACTGACCTTTCTATGCTGCCCTATGTATGTTTCCTGGTACAATACATGGGAAAATCCCATTGGAGGAAAATTCCACTTAGGGTTAGGGTTACATCACCATGAACTCCTAGAGCAAAATGGACATCGCCAACAAACAAGGAGTGCTTGGGTATGGTTAGGATAGCATTGACCTTTCTAGGCTGCCCTATGTATGTTTCTTGGTAAAATACATGGGAAAATCCCATTGGAGGAAAATTCCAGTTAGGGTTAGGGTTACGTCACCGTGAACTCTTAGAGCAAAATGGACATCGCCAACAAACTTGGAGTGCTTGGGTATGGTTAGAGTGCACTGACCTTTTCTAGGCTGCCCTATGTATGTTTCCTGGTAAAATACATGGAAAATCCATTGGAGGAAAATTCCATAGGGTTAGGGTTACTCACCGTGAACTCTTAGACAAAATGGACATCGCCAACAAACTAAGGAGTGCTTTGGTATGGTTAGGAGGGCACTGGACTTTTTCTAGGCTGCCCTTTCTATGTTTCCTGGTAAAAAGTAGGGAAAATCCCATTGGGAGGAAAATTCCACTTAGGTTAGGTTCATCACCATGAACTCCTAGAGCAAAAATGGACATCGCCAACAAACTCGGGTGCATTTGGGTATATGGTTAGATAGCATTGACCTTTCTAGGCTGCCCTATCTATGTTTCCTGGTAAAATACATGGGAAAATCCCATTGCAGGAAAATTCTAGTTAGGGTTAGGGTTACGTCACCGTGAACTCTTAGAGCAAAATGGACATCGCCAACAAACTCGGAGTGCTTGGGTATGGTTAGGAGTGCACTGACCTTTCTATGCTGCCCTATGTATGTTTCCTAGTGAAATACATGGGAAAATCCCATTGGAGGAAAATTCTGTCAGAATACAGCTGGAAGGGACCTCGGAGGTCTTCTAGTCCAGCCGCCTGCTGAAGCAGGAAACCCTAAGTGGAATTTTCCTCCAATGGGCCCTATTAATAAGGTGTTAATACCGTTAATAAAGATAGAGAATACCGTCATTTTAAAATGCCGTTAAAAAGGTTTATTTCTTTTGTTGTTGTTGTTAATTGCGAAGTCGTGTCTGACCCATCGCGACCGCGTGGACAATGTTCCTCCAGGTCTTTCCTGTCCTCTACCATCTTCTGGAGTCCATTTAAGTTCACACCTACTGGGCCTGTGTGGGACCTACTGTGGCTGACTGGACTGTGACTGTGTGTGAGTGCTGCTGACTGCCTACTGTCACCTACTGGTGGTGCTGATCTGGACTGGACTGTGGCTTCAGGTGATCCATCCAACCACCTCATTCTCTGTCGTCCCCTTCTTCTATTGCCCTCAATCTTTCCCAGCATTAGGCACTTCTCCAGTGAGTCCTTCCTTCTCATTAGGTGGCCAAAGTATTTGAGTTTCAACTTCAGGATCTGGCCTTCTAAAGAGCAGTCGGGTTGATCTCTTCTAGGACTGACCGGTTTGAACGCCTTGCAGTCCAAGGGACTCGCAGGAGTCTTCTCCAGCACCATAGTTCAAAGGCATCCATTCTTTGGCGCTCAGCCTTCCTTATGGTCCAACTTTCACAGCCATACATTGCAACTGGGCAAACCATGGCCTGGACTATACGCACTTTTGTTGGCAGGGTGATGTCTCTGCTTTTTAGTACGCTGTCTAGATTTGCCATAGCTTTCCTTCCCAGGAGCAAGTGTCTTTTAATTTCTTGGCTGCAGTCACCATCTGAGGTGATCTTGGAGCCTAGAAAAATAAAATCTGTCACCACCTCCATTTCTTCCCCATCTATTTGCCAGGAATTGAGTGGGCCGGATGCCATGATTTTGGTTTTCTTAATGTTGAGTTTCAAGCCAACTTTTGCACTCTCCTTCTTCACCCGCATCAAGAGGCTCCTTAGTTCCTCTTCACTGTCTGCCCTTAGAGTGGTATCATCTGCATATCTTAGGTTGTTGATATTTCTCCCGGCAATCTTAATTCCAACTTTTGTTTCATCTAGCCCTGCCTTTCTCATGATGTGCTCTGCCTATAAGTTAAATAGGCAGGGCGACAGTATACAGCCTTGCCGGACTCCTTTTCCAATTTTGAACCCATCCGTGGTTCCGTGTCCAGTTCTCACTGTTGCTTCTTCACCCGCATATAGGTTTCTCAAGAGACAAATAAGATGGTCTGGTATTCCCATGTCTTTAAGAACTTGCCACAATTTGTTGTGATCCACACAATGAAAGGCTTTAGCGTAGTCAATGAAGCAGAAGTAGATGTTTGTCTGGAACTCCCTAGCTTTCTCCATGATCCAGTCGTATCGCACTTCCCTGTGTTACACCTTAAGAGGTTGCTCCTAAAAGTGCACCCGGCTCGCCCCCTTCAAGCAAACCCAGATGTTTTTATTCAAGCATAGTTTTGTTTGTCCTGCCCTTCTTTTTCTTTAAGGAGATCGTACGTATGTAGGTTTGTATTTAGGTTTGGTGTTTCTAAACTATATTTCTTAGAGATACCTATGTATTCATATAAGCGCAATATCAAATATCTATTTGAAATATTGTGTATTTTTATTACGAAACGATCAATCTAAAAATAAATGTAGTTTATTTTGAAAAAGTATATAAACTATCGTTCCCTTATAGGTTTATCATTTAAAGGATGGATAAAAGGGATGAGACGTGAGAAGTTGCAACTAATGGCATTTATTAATTTGTTCGCCGTCCATCTAACTTTGTGGACCTTCGTCTATTAATAAGGTGTTAATACCGTTAATAAAGATAGAGAATACGGTCATTTTAAAATGCCATTAAAAAGGTTTATTTCTTTGGGTGGCCGCAATACCCATTTTTGACCCCGGAAGGGCACAGTTTTCTGTCCCATAGCTTTGGCTTGGAGTCCATCCTAGGCCTTTTTAATGGCCTCCATCCTATAGCTAAGGCAGGGGTAGGCAACCTGGGCTCTTTGATGACTGGTGGACTTCAACTCCCAGAATTCCTGAGCCAGCCCTGCTAAGGGACGGAAAACTGGTCAAATCAGATACTGCGGCCAGAAAAATAAATAAACCTCTTTAAGATGATTATTCTTGATTATTAAAACTTATTAATATGAATAAGCCACGATAGGCCTTAACTCGGTTTAAGATTGGAACCAGGATTTCTTCTGCGCCCGTGTCGCACCGACCGGGCCCCCCGTCGCCACGTTAATATTAATAATAAGGCGTTAATAATAAAAATAGAGAAGAATAAGCTTCAAATGCTATTCAATTTATTTCTTTGGGCGGCAGCAGTACCCGCTTTTGACCACAAGAGGGCAGTGTTTTCCGTCCCATAGCGTTACCAGGGAGGCCGTCGTAGGCCACTTGCCCAGGATCTGGACACCGAGAAGCTAAGCCCCAAAGCGCAGAGCGTCAGCCAAAGGGTCGCCACTCTATGCTCCTCCGAAAGGGACGGGCCGCGTCCCTCGGCCTTCTGCGCATGTCGGCCGGCTGGTTCTTCACGAGTAATCTGCGAGAGGCCCTCTCTGGACGGCGGGCTTCCTGCCCGTCGGTATCGGCCGTCCCCCAGGTGCTGCGGTCAAAGGACCTTTCCATCATGTCCGACTTCCGTCCCTTCGTTCTTAATCTTTCCCCCTACTTCCTTTCGGGTAGACCTCCTCAGTATGTCCGACTTCCTGTCCGCGCAAATTCGCCGTCCTCCAGGGTTTTTAAATTGCGACCTTCCCAAGATGGCCGACTTCCGGTCCGTCCTTCTTAATTGTCCTTCCACTTCCTTTTTTTCGGGGACCTGGGCAGGGCGGACTCCACGTCCGATCAACGAGGTAAGCCTTGAACACCCCATTCAAAAGGCTTATTTCCCTTGGCGGCCGCAATACCCGTCCCATAGCATTTACCATCGAGGCCACCTTAGGCCTTTTCCACGGCCTCAATGCCGCTATCGCTAAGGGAGGGAAAGCAGTGCCCTCCCGTGGCCAAGCCGGGTATAGCAGCCACCAAAAGAAATAAACCTTTGAAAATGGCAAAAGGGCCTCCCGTCGCCCTATTAATATTAATAAGAGGCTACTAATAAAGACGGGGGGGAAATAAATAGCCTTAAAACCCCATTTAAAAGCTTTATTTTTTTCGGCGACCGCAGTACCCGTTTTTGACCACAGGCGGGCACAGCTTTCCGTCTTGTAGCATGACCACCGACGACGACGACGACGTTCCCAGTACGGCCGAGTTCCTGTCCATCCGCCGAGGCTTTCCCCAACTTCCTGTCCGTTCCCTGCTTTTTCCCGTGCTCTTTTCTGCACTACGTTGACGGAGCGCACGTCTACCGGCGAGGCCTCAGGAAGGAAAAAAGGAAGCCTGCTACTGCCTCAGGTGAGCCGAGCCATCCCCGCATTTCCTGATTCCAGAAAGATACCGGCTTTCTCTGTTACCTAGTTAGCGGGGGATCCCCACCTTCCCTTTCCCCCGCCTCCTCCCCGGCCACTCGTTTGGTCCTCTCCCCTAAGATGTCCGTCTGGCCTTTGGCCGCCCCCGTCCGTAAGAATGCGACCGAGAACCGGTGGCGTCGGCGGCTGCGGCGTCGGCGGAGGTTGTGAGACCTGGTCTCTTTGCGCTCTTTCCCTTTCAGCTATAGGGGCTAAATCTGGAACGTAGAGACGAAGTTAGCTTGTTTTAACAACACACTTCGGGGTTGTTTACGCGAGCTCAGCCGCGACTTCTTTTTAGCTCCTTTTTAGAGGCGGGGCCGGCGGGACACGCTCCAGGCTTTTGGCGTCCGGGTCGGGAAGGGGGTTCCGACCCTTCTCGGGGGTCTCCTCGAAGGCTGCCAAGCAAGGCAGCCGTTGAATGGTGTTTTCCCAGCGCCCGAGTCCCGGATGTAGAAGAACCAGTCGTATCGCGCTTCCCTGTGTTACACCTTAAGAGGTTGCTCCTAAAAGTGCACCCCGCTCGCCCCCTTCACGCAAATCCAGGTGTTTTTATTCAAGAATAGTTTTGTTTGTCCTGCCCTGCTATTTCTTTAAGGAGATCGTACGTATTTAGGTTTGTATTTAGGTTTGATGTTTCTAAACTATATTTCTTAGAGATCCCTATGTATTAATCTAGGCGCAATATCAAATCTCTATTTGAAATTGTGTGCATTTTTATTAAGAAACGATCAATATAAAAATAAATGCAGTTTATTTTGAAAATGTGTATAACCTATCGTTCCCTTCTAGGTTTATCTTTTAAAGGATGGATAAAAGGGATGAGACGTGAGAAGCTGCACCTAATGGCTTTTATTATTTGGTTCGCCGTCCATCTAACTTTGTAGACCTTCGTCCAAAACAAGTCAGGGTTAGGAAGGGTAGGAGATTCCTTCCTTTCCTCCCCAGGTTGCCGTAAACAGCCCACCCACCGCCCAGAGGTAAGAGAAAGGAAAAGCAGGTCTCTCGGGGGGCAGCAGGAGACCCGGGTCTTTGCAGAGTCCGGCTTGCAATTTTGCTAACTTCCCCCAGTCACGGCTGCATCGACTGATGTAGGGCCAGGAGGAAGGGGGCGGACGCCTGCCGGAACCATCAGCCTTTTTGGAAAAGGCAGTGGAGAAAGGAGGTCACGCTCCCTGGATTTCCAGCCTAGAGCCTCCGCCGGATGGGTGACCCCCCACCCTTGCTGTGGCTGTTAAGAAGGAACTGGGAGAAAACAGGTAAGTTGTCCTTGAGGATTCCCCCCAACCTTTTTTTTGCCACTTTCAGCGAGGTTAAGGTTTTTCTTTTTAAAGAGACAGGGATGGAAATGGAGTAAGGTTGGGAGCCCAGTAAAAACCCCAAGAGGAAGCGGAAAACAGGGTGGGAGGTTGCGATCGCCACCGCTCCTCTCAATATTGCAGTTTTGGTGGGAAATAGCAGGAGGGACCTCCTCCAAGGGCCTTCCCACTAGCAGAGCTTGGCAGTCTACCGGAAAGGGCCTTTTCTGGCACACCTGGCAGGCCGTGCGACAGAATCTTTGGGTGATGCTCACGGGCCCCGCTTTCCGGGCATTTAGGGACAAGGTAAGAACGCATCTCTTTGGCCGAGCTTTTGATTTCTGAGCAATCCTCTTGTGTAATTTTAAGAGCGATTTCAATTGCGTTAATGTGGTTTGTAGATTACAGCGTTAGCGTTTTATGAAGCACTTTGATGTCAGAAGAAACAAAAATTGCCAACAAACTCAAAGTGCTTGGGTATTGTTAGGAGGGCACTGACTTTTCTAGGCTGCCTTATCTATGTTTCCTGGTAAATACATGGGAAAATCCCATTGGAGGAAAATTCCACTTAGGGTTAGGGTTACATCACCGTGAACTCCTAGAGCAAAATGGACATCGCCAACAAACTAGGAGTGCTTGGGTATGGTTAGGAGAGCACTGACCTTTCTAGGCTGCCCTATCTAATTTTTCCTGGAAACAATACATGGGAAATCACATTGCAGGACAAATTCCAGTTAGGGTAGGGTACGTCACCGCCACGTGAACTCCTAGAGCAAAATGGGACATCGCCAACAAACTCGGAGTGCTTGGTATGGTTAGGAGGGCACTGACTTTTCTTGGCTGCCCTTTCTATGTTTCCTGGTAAAATACATGGGAAAATCCCATTGGAGGAAAATTCCACTTAGGGTTAGGGTTACGTCACCGTCAACTCCTAGAGCAAAATAGACATCGCCAACAAACTCGGAGTGCTTGAGTATGGTTAGGAGGGCACTGACTTTTCTAGGCTGCCCTATCTATGTTTCCTGGAAAAATACATGGGAAAATCCCATTGCAGGAAAATTCCAGTTAGGGTTAGGGTTACGTCACCGCTAACTCCTAGAGCAAAATGGACATCGCCAACAAACTAGGAGTGCTTGGGTATGGTTAGGAGTGCACTGACCTTTCTAGGCTGCCCTTTCTATGTTTCCTGGTAAAATACATGGGGAAATCCCATTGCAGGAAAATTCCAGTTAGGGTTACGTCTCCATGAACTCCTAGAGGAAAATGGACATCGCCAACAAACTCGGAGTGCTTGGGTATGGTTAGGAGTGCACTGACCTTTCAAGGCTGCCCTATCTATGTTTCCTGGTAAAATACATGGGAAAATCCCATGGCAGGAAAATTCCAGTTAGGGTTAGGGTTACGTCACCATGAACTCCTAGAGCAAAATGGACATCACCAACGAACTCGGAGTGCTTGGGTATGGTTAGGAGGGCACTGACTTTTCTAGGCTGCCCTATGTATGTTTCCTGGTAAAATATATGGGAAAATCCCATTTGAAGCAAAATTTCACTTAGGGTTAGGGTTAAGTCACCATGAACTCATAGAGGAAAATGGACATCGCAACCAAACTCAGAGTGCTTGGGTATGGTTTGGAGGACACTGACTTTTCTTGTCTGCCCTATCTAATTTTCGTTGTAAAATATATGGGAAAATCTCATTAGGGGAAAATTCCAGTTAGGTTAGGGTTAGGTCATCATGAACAAATCCAGGAAAATTGACATCACCAACAAACTTGGAGTGCTTGGGTAGGTTAGGAGGGCACTGACTTTTCTAGGCTGCCCTACTATTGTTTCCTGGTAAAAAGTGGGAAAATCCCATTGGAGGAAAATTCCACTTAGGGTTAGGGTACATCACAGATGAACTCCTAGAGCAGAGAATGGAACATCGCCAACAAACCGGAGTGCTTGGGGATATGGTTTAGGATAGCATTGACTTTCTAGGCTTCCCGATTATTTTTCACTGGAAAAATACAGGGAAATCCATGGAGGAAAATCCACTTAGGGTTAGGGTTACGTCACTGTGAACTCTTAGAGCAAAATGGACATCGCCAACAAAATAGGAGTGCTTGGGTATGGTTAGGAGGGCACTGACTTTTCTAGGCTGCTCTATGTATGTTTCCTGGTAAAATTCATGGGAAAATCCCATTGGAGGAAAATTCCACTTAGGGTTAGGGTTACGTCTCCATGAACTCCTAGAGGAAAATGGACATCGCCAACAAACTCGGAGTGCTTGGGTATGGTTAGGAGTGCACTGACCTTCCTAGGCTGCCCTATCTATGTTTCCTGGTAAAATACATGGGAAAATCCCATTGCAGGAAAATTCCAGTTAGGGTTAGGGTTACGTCACCATGAACTCCTAGAGCAAAATGGACATCGCCAACAAACTAGGAGGGCTTGGGTATGGTTAGGAGGGCACTGACTTTTCTAGGCTGCCCTTTCTATGTTTCCTAGTAAAAAAGTGGGAAAATCCCATTGGAGGAAAATTCCACTTAGGGTTAGGGTTACATCACCGTGAACTCCTAGAGCAAACTGGACATCGCCAACAAACTCGGAGTGCTTGGGTATGGTTAGGATAGCATTGACTTTTCTAGGCTGCCCTATCTATTTTTCCTGGAAAAATACATGGGAAAATCCCATTGGAGGAAAATTCCACTTAGGGTTAGGGTTACATCA